TTATCCAGCTTAAACTGCTGTTTCCTTTCGTTCTGTCCCTTGTTCCCTGGGAGCAGAGACCAACCTCCCCCCAGCTCCCCCCTCCTGTCAGGGAGTTGCAGAGCCAGAAGGTCCCCCCTGAGCCTCCTTTGCTCCAGGCTGAGCCCCCCCAGCTCCCTCAGCTGCTCTTGCTGCTCCAGCCCCTTCCCAGCTCCGTTCCCTTCTCTGGATGTGCTCCAGCCCCTCAATGTCCTTCTTGTTGTGAGAGACCCAAAACTGAACTGTGAGGTGCCTCAGCAGTGCCCAGCACAGGGACAGGCAGTGCCCTGGCCCTGCTGCCACACAATGGCTGGTACAGCCCAGGTGCCATTGCCCTTCTTGCCCACCTGGGCACACCTGGGCTCATGTTCAACCACTGTCAACCAGCACCTCTAAGTCCTTTTCTGCCCAGGCAGGTTTCCAAACCCTTTTTCCCCAAGCCTGGAGCATTGCCTGGAGTTGTTGTGACCTGGATCCCCTGTTTCACCTGCCTTGGCCTCGAGTGGGCACAGGAAGGGAGAAGAAAATGCACCTGTGGCTTTGCAGTTGCAGATGCTCCTGTCCTCAGTGCAGGGCTGCCCAGGATGACGTCCTTTCCCTCAGCATCTTCACTCACACCTGGGGACATTTGCAAACAGACACCCTGCCCAAAACACCCAGAAGGATTCCCACACATTCCTGTGGTTAAACACCACACCCCCTTTCCTGTACGCTGAGATAGTCACAGGCCTGAGCCCAGTTGGGATGTCCCAGCTTATGTTCATGTGGCCCTGCCCACAAGAGTGAGCTTCTATTTCTCCACTGAAGTGCTACAACATCCTTGGTGTGACCACCACTTCTGTAGAAATCCATGGAGCCAAGACCACGTTGTTCTCTGCTCTTTTCACGGTTTCCTCCTTGTGACCTGGAGAAAAAAAGGATCCCAGGGATCCCAAGCAGGGCCTGGGGTCAGGCTTGGGGCCATTTTTTAGCACATCAGGCTTTTGGCAAACCCAGGTAAGGGATCTTGCTCGTGGTAGGTGGGCTCCTGAAAAGCTGTGGAAAAACCCTTGGACTGAAGAAGAGATATTTTCTGAGAGACACGGGGCATTTCCAGCCTTTGATGACACCAGTTGATAACTACAATGGTCATCAAACCAACAACGAAAGTGTGGACACTTCAGTGCTCAGCTTTGTTTTTATGGCATCCAAACACAATCCCCTCAGCACATTCCCACCTCTTTTTTATGTTCTGCAGGCATCTCCAGCTGGCCTGTTGTGCATTTTGGGGGGTTGCCAGCCACTAAAGCCATGTCAGAAGCAGAAAGTCATTTTAGAAGTATCTGTTTGGCAAAAGAATTATTTGCCACCACCTTTCCCTTTTAAATGGCTTCCGTGGAGCCAACCAGAGTCTGGTAAGACACAGATTTGGAGCCACCTCCCAGAAGAGGTGAGGGGAGCAGGGGGTGTTTAGCTGTAGAACACGGGCTTGCGGAGCACACGCACCACGTTGTACGTGTTCAACCCCGGGGCATCGAAGCCTGGAGACAAACCCTTGCGGTCAAAGGGGTAAAAGTTAAAGAGCTGCCCATTTTGGGTCTCCAGGGAGATGGAGGCAGAGCCCAGGTGCAGGACACACGGGAACTCCTTGTCAAAAACAACTTGGAAAACACGATCCTCCAGGTGGTGGAGCTTGATTGTCCGGTACTTCTCAGGGATCAGCTCTTCTACGTGAGGCCCAAACTGCTGCATGATCAGCACCCCACCAATGCCAACTTTGATCTCATAGAAAGTCAGGTTGGAATAGGTGTAGTAGCCAACATAAGGGATGGGGTTTGGAGGGGGAACCACACTCTTCTCTGCCTCCCTGAAAGCCGTCTCCATGGCCGGAATGAGATACTCGTAAGTCTGAGTCACAACATCCCCACCCTGAGGCCTGGGCCCCGACATGAGCACGATGAAGCTCAGGTGGAGCTTGGGGATAAGAGAGAAGGTGGCTGAGTAGCCATCGAGGTCCCCATCCTTCCTGATGACATCGTAGCCCAGCTGCTCGTTGATCTCCCAGGGCGTGCCCGTCTTGTTGGCAAAGTAGTCGCTGGAGCACTTGAGCAGCGGGGTCAGCATGGTCTTCACCGTGTCGGGCTCCAGCAGCCGGCGGTGGTAGGTGCCCAAGAAGACCATGGCCAGCTTGGCCAGGTCGGCAGCCGTGGAGTACATCTGCCCAGAGGGTCTGTACCAGCCCAGGTCGTAGAGCGGGGCGGGCTGGCGGCTGCCGTAGAAGCCCACGGCCATCTGGGCGCGGATGGGCGGCGTCAGGTCGAAGCCCGTGTCCTCCATGCCCAGGCGGTCCAGGATGTGCTCCGAGATCCAGCGCTGGTACTGCCCGTCGGCCCCGTGCTCGGCCAGCACGTGGGCCAGCAGGGAGAAGGCCAGGTTGCTGTAGTGGCACCTGGGAAAGAAGGAGGAATATCTCGGGATCAGCTTTGCCCGGCGTGGATGGGACAAAACGGTGGCTGTGCCTGTTGTTTAGGGGGTATTCACATTTTAGGGAATGATGTGCTAAAGAGAGGAGAGATGAAGGAGAGACAGGGATACGGTGTGGATGTGGATGTGAAAAAATAGTGGCTGTGTGTCATTTAGGGAA